CTTCGTTGTTGTTCGTTTTTAATATGCACCAAGCCTATCGGATATAGTCAAAAAGCGAGCCACCGCAAAGCAGGACCAGCAACAAAACAAACGTGTTCCTTTAAGGGATTGGGGTTCCTTTAAGGGTTTGGGAGTTTAGGGTGCCTTTACGGGTTTAGGGTTCCCTTACGGATTTAGGGTTCCTTTAAGGGTTTAGGAGTTTAGGATTCCTTTACGGATTTAGGGTTCCTTTAGGGGTTTAGGAGTTTAGGGTTCCTTTACGGGTTTAGGGTTCCTTTACGGGTTTAGGGTTCCTTTAAGGGTTCAGGGTCCCAAAGCGCTAAACCCAATACCCTGACCTCTTTACCCTAAACCCTATACTTGGAGCCTGTTTTGGTTCGTTCCCTTGTTTTTGTTACGGCATCCTTAATCGGGCTCTTGCAAGGAAAATTATGATTCTGCTTACCTCCCAACAAGGGCCCAGCTATAACAAGGCTCAAAGTCCCAGACTTTAGGGCCACGGTTTAGGGTTTAGGGCTTGGGGTTTAGGGTTCAGGGTCTAGGGTTTGGGGTTTAGGGTCTAGGGTTTAGGGTTGGGGTTTGGGGTTTACGGTTTCCGGGTTTAGGCTTACCTATCGCCTGGGGCTGCAGAGCTTGCAAGATCTTGGAAGTCTCTTGGTCACTTGACTATGGCATGGTGACTATGGCTCTTCAGCTGAACGAGCACCCTACACATCTTTTTGAGACCGGTAGAACCGAAACTTTACGCTTCTTTGGGCTCATATGATCACTACACCCCCGGGAACTCAGCAACTAGGATAGGCAAGTAAGCTTTTTTACATGGGATCGGGCAGTTGTCGGGTTTAGGGTATCGGGCTCTGGGAGTGTAGGACTGTAGGATCGACTAGAGGTCGATGGTTTAGGAATCTGGGGTGTATAGTTCATAGCAAAAACTATCGTAAGTATTAAACCCCTAGTTCAAAGGACGCTTGTGATGACCCAACCCTTTGAATGATCAAACCTTTTTCTGAGCATTGCTATGTTTCCAAATAGTTAAGGCCCCCGATAAGTCTATGCGGCCCCGCATTCCAGGCGGATCCGCCACTTCCAGCCCTGTGCGACGGCCGAGTGGGAGTCACTTCTGTCGAACCCGTGGCATGTTTTAGAGGGTCGACGGCCTAAGGATTTCATGGCTTGGGTTTGGGGTTTCGGGATTTGGGGCTAGCCCAGGACCCTTCAATGTTAGTGCTGCAATGCCATAGGCGGCTAGTTCAAAGCCCTAGAGCTGCCAGCAAGAACAATGGAGGAACTTGGATGTGCCGTCTGGGAGGCTGCCTGATCACCCCTCGAGGAAGAAGTCCACTCTCCTCCACCGCAATCTCGGAAGCCTTGTCAAGCCTGTTGCTTAATAAGGAAAGCAAAATCGAACGGTCAACTTCCCTAAAACCCAAACTGCAGCTGTTCGTGTCACAGATCTTGAGGTAGTGCTGGTTCGGGAATCCTTCTCAAATCCAAACCCTAATTCCCAAACCCCCCCCAACAAAAAAAAAAAACTCAAAACCCTACACTCCTAGACCCGACACCCTAAAGGGCTCAGCGCGGCGAAGTCATGTCAAGGATTTCGGATGGCCCGATGAATGTCACAGCAGCGCTGCGACTTCCAGGACCGGTGAGACAGGCAGGGGACAGGCAGAGAAACAATCCCTACTTTCACCCATACCATAACCTACTTTTTTGGTAGGTTCCTACTATAAGCCCGTACATCGAACTAGATATGTAGGGGACGGAGCGTACAGTAGACTCTGTTAGGGGTTTAGTGCCTACAGAGGTTTAGGGCTTAGGGCTTAGGTGCTCTAGTCTAAGAGAAAAAAGTGTGGCCAGAAACATGGCGAAACCTTCAGATTCACATGTTTCAATCCCCTAACCCTAAACCTTGATCCCTCAACCCAACGTCCCGAAGCCTAAATTTGTTGAGGCATGGGACTTTAGATCCTATAGCTTACACACAAAGGCTTCAACCTGAAAACCCAGGGAGGCAACAGTACGCAGGTCGGCAAACCACAAAGGCATGAAGGTATAAGCAACGAAAAGAAGAAAATGGAATAAGCAGCAAAAGAGAGAAACACCGAACATCAAAGGAAAACAACGAAACCTGTGTCAAGACCGTTGAAAGATGGAAGAAGGAGCACCGAAGAACAACACTGCAAAGCAATTTTTAGAACCTTACGCTAGAACCTGAACCCTAAAACCTAACCCTTAAACCCTGAACCCCAAACCTTAGACCGTAAGACCTCCAAACAAATGTCGAGGAGTCGGCAACCTCCATGGATGCAGCGAGCACATCTCCGGCTGGTTCTCGGGGCGGCTTCCTAGCTGCCTATGCTTTTGTTGTCATAGTTTTGTACTTTGCGGTTTAGGAGTTTAGTGTTTCTGTTTTTTGTGTATGTTATTTTCGGGTGTGGGGGTATGTCATGAAAAATAGTTTTGGACCGTAGAACTCTGAACCAGACACTGCGAGTCCCAAAGCTGAAATGCTAGATCCGAGAAAGCCTTGACCCTAACCCGAAAAAGTCCAAAAAACGCAAACCTTAAATCCCAAGACTGGAATCCGAAAAACCGCAAACCCTTAATTCCCAAAACTGGTACCCTCAATCCGATAAGCACATGGAAAGAAACAGAAGACAGAAATCCGACGAGCACAGGATTGCCCTGCTGCAGAGAGGCGGTTGTTTTTTCGCCTGGAAGGCGGTTTTTGCATTCTGTGAACACTTAGGGTTTAGGGGTTTAGGGTTTAGAGCCCAGTACCCAACCTTCAATTTTTTTTTGGGGGGGGGTTCGTAATTTGGGGGAGTAAGAAGATGCAGACTCTGGTGATCTTTGGGATAAGTCGTTTTTTCCTAGTGACAAAAACTCCCAGGGACCCCTAAAGCCTGAACCCTAAACCGTGTAATATAGGGGCCTGAATATTAACAATACTCTTGTGGGGGTTCCCTTGTTATAATTATAGTTTAATATACCTCAAAACCCTATTCCTAATTATTAAGGCCCCATCTATAGTAAAACTTATTATGGAGGTCCAGGAGTGAAGGTGTAGGATCTGCAGTTTGATGTTTTACAACCGGTTTAGGGTTCAGGGTGTATAGGCTTTTGGGTTTAGGGTTCGGGGTTTATAGGCTTTTGGGTTCAGGGTTTATAAACTTCATGGTTTAGTGTTCTACAGTTTCAACTCAGGTCCAAGTTCTGTTCGAGGTTCTGCTCCAACCCCTCAGCTCAAAACATGTGCCTGTCTCTTTGTCTGTCTGCGTTCCTGTCTGTCCTAAACCCTGAACCCCAAAGACCTGAACCTTAAAGCATTTGAAAGGAAAAATCCTGAAACCCTAAATCCCTAAAGCACTAAACGCTGAAGCTTATTACAAATCTTAAGCCCTAAACCGCTGACCCCAACACCCTACGTAAAGCCCAAAGACCCTGAACCCCAAAGCCTGAAGAGAAGCCAGGCTTTTGGGTTCAGGGCCTAGGGTCCCTGGGTTTAAGGCCTGGGTTTTGCTCTCTATTGGTTTAGGGCCTAGGGTTTAGGGTTTAGGGTTTAGGGTTTAGGGCCTAGGGTTTTGGTGTTTTGGGTTTAGAGCCTCCCTGGCACGCAGCCATCTTCACACTCTGTAGAATCCTCAAGAGTTTGGTGGTGATAGGGTTTTTACAGTCCGGGTCTATAAGGTTCAGGGATCAGGGTTTATACAGCTTATCGGGTTTATGTAGGTTTTATCGGTTTTATAGGGTCGGTTTTAAGCTTCGGGATCTCAAGACCCTGAAGCGCCACAGTCATGCCAGAACAGGACGATATGCAAAAGCTATGTCGGAAAACCACTTCGGGTTACAGCTTTGGGGTTTACGGTCCAGGGTTCAAGCTTTAGGGTTTAGGTGTTTATCATTCGTTTCCCTAGTATCTTAAACCTAAACTGGATCCAGGAGCAAACCCTTCTTTCCCAGTCCTTGTAGCCATTTTGTTGTATCTTGAGCATACATTGTTGGCAGGTGCTCTTGGCAGCGGACGCTGGGGCAAAAGCAGTCCTGATCTTTGACACCGCCGCCATGCTGCAAAGCGGGTTTGATTGGGTCTTTTGAGGGTTTGACACGGGCTGCTGTGCAGACCTCTGATTAAAAACACACGCACGCACGCACGCAAGCACGCACACACACACACAATGCTAGGATCCCTGTTCAATTCCTGGCGAATAGAGGTTGGGTTAGTAATCAGGGGTGTGCATTAAAAGTATTTGTGGGTATCAAGCTACTACTACCTGGCAGACATATTATATATGTACTACATATATTGATGATGCTACCGTCGTCCGTGTTCTTCAAGAATGATCCAACAATGCCCTCAACCCCGCGCAACCCCAAACCCTGAAAGAGCCTATGCCACAGACCCCAAGAGACACAAGAAATCCTGAACCTTTTGGCTTCCTGTACTGTACTGCGGAGGTCGTAATACTTAACAAACCAGTCCTTCATAGTCCCGATCATCATCGTATCATATACAGTAAGACCTTATTGCAATTATTCTGGCCCCTACAGGAAACCCTAACCTATGAAACCTTATAACAAAATTTCGCAGATTTCAAAACCCAATCCCATGTATATCTATGCATGAAGGCCCACGCACTTATCCACACCTTCAAGCGCTTTACGAGTGGCCAAAGCGCTAGTTGCTGAAGCGCTATAGCGCAAAGCGGATTGAGCTTCTAAGGCCTGGCAGGTGCTTGGGATCCACAGCTTTTCGGGTTTAGGGCGTATGATAAGAGCGCTAAGACTTTCGTTAAATCCTACCTAAACCCCCCAAAGTAGGTAAAAATGAAGGCCAGCACCCATAAAAGGCTATTGTTCTGCATACTTTGGGGGTCCACTCAAACCCTAAGATGTCGTCTCGGGCTCAACAAGCCTGACACCCTCAACCCTAAACCCTAAACCCTTAAACCCCAAACCCTAAACCCTAAACCCTGAACCCTAAACCCTAAACTGAGGTGGACGTGCAGGCCACAGCCATCCTGGCCGTGCCAGGGCCGTTTGAGAACCCGAGGCCTGGTTTGGGTTTAGGATTTAGGGTTGGGGGTTTGGGGTTTGGGGTTTAGGGTTTGGGGTTTGGGGTTTAGGGTTTAGGGTTTAGGGTTTGGGGCAATGACTACGCTCACTGCGACGATTGTCACGATGATTGCTACTTGTATTTACGATTGTTACGACTATTATGTACACTCATTCTCCTTTGCAGGATTCCGGGCTTTCTCATCTCCAAAGCCGACGGGGAAGCCTTGCGAGCGCAACTGGAGAGATGGGGCTTGAGGGTTCTATAAGGGATGCTATAAGGGGTCTCTAACGGTGCGGTCATATACGGGGCTCTATATGGGTTCTTTAACAAGAGGTCTATGTTTGTTGTTTCAGGGTTCTGTTGGTTTTCTTGGCGGTCTATGAAGGTTACAAGGTTTTGAGGAGGTCTTGGGGGCTTTAGGATATCAGCGTTCTTTGAGGGCTTGCTTCAGGGTCCAGGTAGTCCCTATTCATGGCTTGCTAGGATTTACCCACCCAAACCCGCCCAAGCCTTCAGCCGTTTCCTGGATTTAAGCTTTAGGTTTCAGGGCGTACCTGGCCCACACAGGATGTACCGGTTCAGGGCTTTAGCCTCCTGTTTTTGAGGAAGCGTACACAAAAAGGCAGCTAGCGTAAACAAAAAGGCAGCGCTTGCAGAGTTTCGGTAGGATCTGGAAGCTAGAACAGGGGTTTTCGGGTCTGAGGGTTCCAGGGTTTAGGCTTGAGGGTTTTAGGGATTGCGGGATAGCGTTGCTGGCTTTGCACCTTAGAGTAGAAACTGTCAAGTTGTAGTAGATATACCCGTAGTAATAATGATCTGATTTGCAATAGCAGCAATATGACAGTAACATCATTACCCTCATGCCCTTAAGCAAAGCAGAGAGGATCCCATGATGAATCGTCCTTGTTCCATCTTTGAGCTCTTTAGAGTGCACTTTGAAACGAGAGGATCATGGGAACTCAGGCCATCTTAGAGTTTGCCCCTAAACCCTAAACCCTAAACCGTAGGATCATGGGAACTCAGAGCATCTTGGAGTTTGCGACTCTGGGCTGAAAAACCCGAAGCCCTAAGCCCCTGTACCGGAAAACCCGACAGGCCTGCGTCCGACTTCTTGGGTGCGCAAAACCTCTATAGGTACCCTTGTAGTAACCCCCATAACCTCAAAGAAATCCTTATAGGAGCCCGTACAGTATCCTTCATGTAACCCTTATACGAACCCCTATAACAACCCTCTCGACGAACCCTTAAAGTAGCCCTAAAGGAACCCCTTTAAGGGAACCCTTCGTTGAACCCTTAAGGGCCTGGGCTGTTCCAGGCTTCCTGGGTCAAAGTGGGACGTTGAGTCTCCTTTCTTTGCGAGTTGGTAACAGCAGTCAGCTGAGGGTTTAGTAGGGTTTAGGCTCGAGGGTTCCTTGAAAGGGATCCATACGGTTTGGGGTGTAGGGTTTGGGGTTCAGGGGGTTTAGTTCTATTCGGGCTCAGGGAAAGGTTTGGGTTTGGCGTTGTTGAGTTTTAGGATTTGGCTTCAGGGCAAGGAGCAGTTATGTGTACTTTCACTGCCCCGCTGAGCGCGGAATCTAAACCGTAAGTCCATGCTGTCCCCAGACTTGTCCCGGCTTCTTCCTAGCATGCTGGCGGCGAAGCCGAGCCTGGCACAGAAATTGGGGGTTAAGTGACCCAGCAACCAAAATCCTCCCCCTGCACTCTGACACCCTAAAGCCCTGAACCCTTAGGCCCTAAACCCCTAAAGCCCTACGACCTAAAGCCTAAAGTTGTAAAGCCCTTTTTTACCCCCAAGCCCTAAAGCCGAGACCACACACCCCGCAGGAGGATGGGGAAGAGCTCCAAGTCGCTTGCAGCTGGTCGCCATTGGAGATCTGGTGGCGCGGACACAAGATTAAAGGAGGCGTCTATAAGGTATATAGACCTTCTATAAGCTCCTATAACGGTAGGTTGTTCTCCAATACCAAACCTTTAACCTTTTTGGGTTTTTATAATTTCGTAGTAACCTGAAAGTTTAACCTTTTATTTCCTGGCTTATTGGGGAAGTAAGAGAGAGGGATCTATGTTTTTGGACCCCAAAACCCTAAACCGCTCAAGGGTGCCATTGAACCCCGACTACTACACACAGTTCCTTAGTTACACACCCTGAACCCTAAGACCTAAATCCTTAACCCCTAAACCCTATATCCCAAACCCCTAAACCCTAGCCCCCAAACCTTAAACTCTAAACCCCTAAACCTGAGAGCAAAGCCCCGCGATCCTCAACCAAAGCCCTCAACCCCAAACCCCTAAAGCCCTAAAGCCCCTAAATCCTCGCGTCCCCCCCCCCCCATTTCAAGCCCTACAACTCTGAAGCCCTAATGTAGGGGCCCAAGAAAATACCCCTATATCACTTTGGGGGCTCCTTGTTATAAATATAGTATGATGGGCCCCAAAACCCGATTCTAATTATGAAGGGGCCCGTAAATTAAACCCTAAACACGAAACCCCGGAAGCCCCAATCGGCCAGCGGATTTCGAGGTTCGGACTGCCCAAGGAGTCGCCGAAGGCAATTGGGCTTCGCACGAGGGGGTTTAGGGTTCAGGGCTTTAGGGTTTTTAGGGCTTCGGGTTTGGGATTTTAGGGTTTAGGATTTAGATTTCATGGTTTAGGGTTTTTAGGGTTCAGGGTTTAGGAGTAGCTACCCAGCGAGTGCTCCGAAATGAACCTCAGGAATATAGAAGGTTGATGAGGCTTGTATTGTCTTGAGTGTGATTTCAGGGTTTGTGTCGGGTTGTACAGGATTCTTATGGGGTTGTTATGAGGCATCTGAATAGCATGATTGAAACTTGGAGGTTGTAGGGTTGAATGTAGCGGCCTGGAAAACTGCACTAATATCACCTGACAACACCTGCATAAATCGTATTGATTCCAATTGACCATATGCCGTGTCCCGATTCTGTTTATTCGGGCCCCATATGGGTAGTTCTTTACATTAGGGTCGCTTTGGGGATCCTTTTTGTAAGGGTGCCGTATCACGTTGGACCCTAAGTGGAGAGCTCCCCATATGAACTACCCATATGAAGGGTTTCAATTGCTTGGAGCTTGGGGTTTGCAGTATGCGGATACCTCTGTCATATACTCAAGGCGCAGCTATTGCCCCCTAAACCCTAAACCCTAAAGCCCTAAACCCTAAAACCCTAAACCCTAAACCCTAAACCCCAACCCCTAAATCGTAGCCTAAACACAGGCCGTATTGAGCTCAGGATGGAGCTCTCTGGGATGGAGTGGATCGCAGATCAGGTTGCCGACATCGAATTAATGTAGGGGCTTCAATAACTACCAACATGATTTTGGGTGGTTCCTTATTATATTTATCGTATAATATACACCAAAACCCTATTCTAATTATTAAGGCCCCTATATTATCGAGGTTCCTTGGGGTTCAAAGTTCCTCAATATAACTATAGTAGGGTACGTAAAGTAGACCCTAAGACCAATCATAAAGACCCTCATGGTTTAGAATTTAAATACCAGCTTTCGAAATATCTACTGAGAATTTGCTATATTGGTACTTGGACCTGTTGGGGTAAGCTCCAAAAACCTACGTACTTGATTTTACAGTCTCCCCATAGATGTGGGTGTTGTATAACAGTTGTAGGTCATGGCAGTGACCGAGAAAAGTTTCTAAGCATGCGAAGAAGTGCCGCGGCAGGCCAACGACAGCCTGCTCCTTACGAACGTGGGGGACGAGGACCCAACGACCTGACTTTGGCTTAGGGGCTGGAGGTTGAGTGTAGGCTCAGCATGTTTCCGCGTAGAGATTGCACCCGGCGTTTCGTTATGGAGCCGTTCGGTTTTTGGCAATCAACACTTCCCCTTGCCTAGCAGACAACACTTCGGTTCTGGGAGAAAGCCCTCTGTGCCGCTAATGATTGATAATGATCGGATGGGGCGGCCATGAACAAATCAAACCCTAAACCCTACTGTCATAAACTGGCAACCCCCCAGCCCGTTTAGAAGTGCGTGTTTGTGCCGTCGTGGCGTGGTGCCAGAGGTGTTAAAACTTTAGGGCTTAAGGCTAAGGCTATTCAGCTGTACACTAAACAAGCTTCAAATGTAGGACATGGACTGGGTCATCGACGTTATCGACACCAACGAGACGTTTGGGAAAGATCCTTTCTACCGAGCAAAGGCCGGGACAATGGCGGGGTAACCCTTGGGCCGACCCTTTCACTGTAACAAGCGACTAAAGGAGGGACCCTTATAGGGGCTTTATGAGACAATATAAAGGGTATAAGGGTTATTGTCACTCAGCACTGTAGTGGCTTGCATCAGAAGGAATGGAGAAGCCCTTATTCTCCCTAGATAGATATACTAAGATTGTAACTAACCCCAGAGGCGTTTGTGCTTCAGGCGGAATATTAATCAGAAGAAGCGACCATGGGGATACTCTGGAGCCACCACCCAAACTCCTAGATGCAACAATGCAGAAGCGGTAGTATTCCGGACAGTTCCTATTGAACTATAGTATCATGTACATAAAAACAGGACTCTCATGCCTTCAGGCCTTTAGATTACCCTGAAATCCGGAACCAAACACCCCTCAGCGCTCAACCTACCAGATCTTCACTTCTAGAGCTTCGCCTCTAGAGTTTGAAAGTTAAACTTTTTAGGGGCTCTTAAAGAATATCAGATCTTCATGTCATTTCTGCTAGAGTTCGAAGCTCAACTATGTAGACTATATAGGGACTCTTGCAGAATACTAGTACTAGTCTCTGAGACCCCTCTATTAATGCATTTGCCGCTTAGGATTTGGGGCTTGTGGAGTTTAGGCCGTGGGGGTCTTGAAGCTGAGGAGGTTCAAGGTTTAGTGAATCAGTGATGTGTTCATCCCTTAACATGATAACCCCGAGGCTCTCAACCCTAAAGCCCCTACAACGACTTGCAACCCAAGCAGGTGACGGGCGCCCAAGCCGACCTTGCGCAAGATGTCCTGGGTGAGAGCTGGGACCACCTCACACTTTTCAACGGCACGGCTGGGATCTGAGAAGGGCTGAAGGGGTTGACTCAGACCCTAAGCCCTTACCCGTAAGGGCTGAGGGGATGAATTAGTGATTTAGTGTTGTGCACTGACCTAATATAGGGGCCTTAATAAATAAATAAATAAATATGTATATATATATATATATTTATTTGACCCTACTCTAATTATTAAGGCCTCTACATGACTTCGAGCCTGACCTCTTGGATCCGAAGAATAAAGCTGGCCGTGATCGAAGTCTGTACGGGCCTCTAGTTTCTCTAGTTGATAGCACACACATGGGTCACGCAGGATGTGGGGCATTCGTCAACAGGCCGTTGTTGACCTTCCTTGGCTTGTTAATGTCAAGATTCTGGGTTTGAGGATGGTGATAGCAAGCAAACTGATGCGGGATGACGTCCATCAACAGTGCTCAGAGCCCGGTATCCAAGTGCCCCGACACTTTGGATGCCCAGCCCTACACCCCAAACCCCTACATCCGAACCACCAAGCTTCCTAAACCCCTAAACTCTACACCCCTTAACCCCTAAACCCTACTGTAAACTTCCCAAGCCCTACACCCCAAACCCCCAGCGGGGAAGATCATCTCTTCGACGTAATGGGCTCCAAAAGTGCGTGTACTTTGAGCTACCATAACCTATATTTTATTGGGTCCCGACAAATGCTAGATTCTACGTTAGGGGTTTTATTACGAACCTAAGAAACAGTAGGTTCTGGTAGTTTTAGATAGGTCGTGCTGATCGGTTCGAGCAAGTTCGGGGCCTGGCTGTACATAGATTTGTGGGATCGAAGATTACTGGAATGGTGTTTTTGGTACCGTAAAGTACCACAACACTACGATTATCATCGGATCCCCCAGGAACAGTATTGGTACTGTAGTTGTTCAGACTTTCATATCAAGGTTTAGGTTTCCGCTTTAGAATTTGGGTTTGGGGTTGTTCGCAGACTGCGGACTGCGGCCTGAATTCCTGCTTTGGCGCGTTCAGAGTTTGTGGCTCATATCGGAAACCCTTACTTTATGGTAACCATAACAGTAGCCCCTAATTAATGGTAATCCTTAAGTGCAGCTTAGGGTCTCGAGATCTCGTGTGACCTAGCTACCATCCGTCAGGTCGAGCTCGACGATGTGGTGCAAAGTGTGCCGTTGCCTTTCGACTTCCCACACTACCTGGAGTTCTCGGACAGAATTTTTGTAACGTCCAACGGCCCCTTCGCTGCAAGAAGTGTGAAGGGCGAAGCCACCCACCCAAAAGAAAGCGCTCGAATGGTCTTGCATGGAACAATGAGAACACTCGGAGAAGCTGCAGGCCCCAAACAAGGACAACCCTCAAGACGTACAGATTCAAAAGTTCTGCGAGGGCCTTGTACTCGGATGTAACTCTTTTTCTTCAGGCCCCGATTGTCGGGCTTAAGATGCCTAGGCCGATGGGTTTAGGGCAGCTCTACACTCCTCCTGCTTCTGTTCCCCGGCGCCTCCCCTCCAAGCCACTGATCCGTCACTACTACTGCCACCACCACTACCGCTAAACACCACATACTAAATCCCGAAGCCTAAACCCCACATGCACCCTAAAGCCCTACAACCCAAACCCAAACCTACCCTACCCTGAAGCTTGTTTGTACACCCAGCAAAATTGTCTCATCTTTAATCCCTCATAACGAACAGTCTTACCATAGAGGCCCTTGTGTTAAAACACACAAACGACCTTTGGACTACCCTGCAGCATTCAAGGCACGACCCCGATCGACCCTGTAAAGCTTAAAACCGTTGACAAAAAACAGATAAAGCCCTAAACCCTAAACCCTCAACAAAAACCGAAACCCTAAACCCTACACCCTCAACCACAACTTAAACCCTAAACCCTAAACTTGCCCTAAACCCCTCCAAAAAAGCGGGAGCATCGAGGACTTCTGGGTTTCCACCCCTTCGATCTCCTCGGGAGCGCTGTGATCGGAGGCCCGGGGGGGCCCCACGGCTTCATCGCCGCACCGCGCCCGGGACGATTCACAGCTTAGGTTTTAGGGTGGTTTAGGGGGTTTTGGTTTAGGGGTTCAGGGGTTTAGGGGTTTTTGGTTTAGGGGTTCAGGGGTTTAGAGGTTTAGGGTTTAGGGGTTTAAGGGTTTATGGTCTGGGTTTTTATTGTTTTGGGACTGAGGGCTTAGAGTCTTAGAGAGTTAAGAGTTTTCGGATGTTAGGTCTTTGGATGTAGGCGACACTTCAATCGCAGTGTGTTGTTTGCTTGGCGGGCTTATAGGGCTTTCAGACTTGAGGGGTTTAGGGCTCAGGATTCAGGTTTTGCTAGATCCCCCAACTGAGGGCTTATGGGTTTAAGGGTTTTAGCCAGGGGTTGGTGGTGCGCATGTGACTCTAGTGTAGAGGTCAAAGTATCCCTTATGCTATAGCTTACCCCAGAATATAGAAACCTAGCCGCTTTAAATTCTTCAGTCCCCTATACGAAACCCCCCTTCTCAAGCCCTACCAACCCTAAACCCTAAGCCCTCTTTGTGAGACCCTGCCAAGCATGCGTGCCGACCGAGGTGGGCTGACTTCGTCCTGCCGGTGAATGCAACCATCTCGGCAGTGTGGCAAAGCTCCTTTCCTGCTGAGCACACAGTTTAAAGCCTACCTAAACCCCCAAAGCAGGTAAGGTACTCTAGGCTTGTAAAATGTATCTCTGTGTACATATATATGCGCATACACATGTCCAGGGCTTCAGGGTTCAGGGTGTTCAGACTGTTTTGAGTTTCAGGGTTTAGGAATTAGGATTCCAGTTTCAGGGTTTATTGGCTCGTTTTGCCGCCACGGCCTGTGAATGATAGAAAATCGGTAGACAAGTGCAGATCCGGAATGCCATTAGAACCGAAGCCTCAAACCACGAAGCCCACGCCTAAGATTAATAAAACCCTCCGCCCTAAACCCTGAGCCCTTGATTTAAGGCACACCGATGCAGCTCACGATATCGTATCGAGACCTGATGCTGAAGGCGCAGCCGAGGAATAAGGTACGGTTCGGGGTCTGCTTTCTTGCCACCAAAATCCTAGGGTATGGTATACTAGAATGTTTACATTACACTATAATATACCACAACATACCGTTAGTAGAATCTCGATAACAGACACTCTACGATGATATACTATCTGAATTCTAGATCCTGGCTTAGCCTTTGGGCTTTGGGGCCCTTGCTTCTCCTCTGGGTTTCTCTTCCAGCAAGTCTCTTCGGCCTCGCCTCGGCCCGACCCGAGGAAGGGGTCATTGCCAGAATGGCTCAGGGTCTCGGATTCCGGAAGCAGAGGATCGGAGCTGATACAGTTTAGGGTTTCAGGGTTTCAGGGTTTAGGGTTTCAGGGTTTCAGGGTTTAGGGTTTTAGGGTTTAGGGTTTAAGGTTTGGTTTAGGGTTTGGGGTTTCGGGCTCCGACGTTTACACCGTGCCTTCAATCGGTGGCAACACGTTGTTCAAGACGTCCTTGATGCTAATATAGGGGCCTAAATAATTGGTAGCGGGCGCACAGGTTGCCCTGTGGGCGTGTGCGTTTTAGGATTCATAA